GATGATTTCTCTGTCCCTCTCACTATCTCTCTCTCTGGAGAGCACATGCACACTAAGACAAAAATCTCTAAAAAAAAATAAATAAGGGATCAGCAGATGGAGTAATGACTATGTCGCTGGACTCCCACGTAGTGGACCCAGAGTGAAACTGGGACCTGGTGGCTTAAAACTCACGTGGGGCATGTGTGCATGGGTGCCTAAAATCCCAAGAGGAGAATGGAGAAAGTGATTGTGGTGTGGCCATCCCCCAGGGGGGTGATTTCTCACTTTCTGTCTCTTTCTCTCTTTCTGTCTCGCCAGCGAGCACATGTACCTTATAGCAAAAATCTCTCTTTAAAAAATCAATTTTTTAATAATAAAAAAAAAAAACATGCCTAGCTCCCGTAATCCAGAAGGCCTTACTTCTGAGTCCCCTCAAGGTCCAGGAAAGACCTTTCTTTGAGTCCCCGCAAAGACAGATGCACACATCGGCTCCAGCAGCATAAGCCCCATTACAATCAACAGCATCTCCTTGAGACTTCATTACCTGCACCCAACCATATGCTGGGGGCACCCCCAAACCCAGCGGCCTCATTCTTCAACTCTGCTCCCCTAAGTCTAGGAGTCCCCTTATCAAAGACACACACCCACCAACCGGGATCTGGAGCCGGCCTTCTTAGAGCCCCCTCGTCGGACACCCCTCAGCGCCCTTCTAACCCAGCGCCCCCTCTCTGAATTTCCAACGGGAAATGTCCCTCTCGAACGTCAAGAGCTTTCTGCCCGCAGTGTCTCCTCCTTTGGAGGCCTCTCTTTTCACAGCCTTATCTTCAGGACCAGGAACATTCTCCCCCGCGCCCAGCCTCCCACCCCACGCACTCCGCTCACTGACCCGAAACACCTCCAGCTTCACCCCCATCTCGTTTCTCCCGGTCTACAAAGCTACTTCCGCCCAAAGCCGACTCGGCCGCAAGACAGCAGCTCATTGGTGTTTCGCGGGAGGCTCTGCCGAAGCTGATTGGCTAATGGGCTGTGTGGCAACGTCATTCCCGGGCGCCTCTTCCCTGCTTCCGGTCGCTGGCGTCGTCTAAACGAAAAGTCAACAGAGCGAGCCGAGCTGGCAGGAAAACTTCAGCCAATAGAAAACGAGGGTGGCTCGGAGGGGCGGGCTTTCAGCGTCTACGTCATAAAATCGCGACTCTCGCCTGTCGCTGGAAAACCAGGAAAATGGTGGTGATGGCGCGACTGTCGCGGCCCGAGCGGCCGGACCTTGTCTTCGTGAGTCCATGGTGGGGCCGGGGGTGGCCTGCGTTGGGGCATCGGGGCCTGGATGACTCTAGGTATCGGAGCCTGGCCGCCCAGAGGATTTTAGGCCCAAACTGTGCCGGCCAAAGGGCTAGAAGTCTCCGATGGGCCACAGGCCAGATCGCGATGTCCTCGCTGGACTGGCCAGAAATAACGATTTCGTATGGGAGGGTCAGCCAATGACCTGTTAAAAAATAAACAGTTAAAGCTTTGATGTGTAAACCAGAGCTCTGATCGTCTTAGTAGAGAGTTATTGTTGAGGTAAAAGGTCTGGCATCTTGGGCCAGGTGCAGAAATGAAGGGGTGCAGGGAGTGGGAGGAGCGATGCATTCCCAAATGTGAGCAGAAGACCTGGCCTTTGGAATAAAGGCATGATGACCACAGCAGGTGTCTGGTTTGGTGCTATGGTTTGGTGTGCTGGGTGGCAGCCTAGTGCTGGTTCAGAGCATTATGGTTTCTGAGCTGGGAGAACCCTGGGATGTGACTTCGAGACCTGATGTTGTGAGACTTGTCCAGGTGATGGCTGATGGGATACTGAAGAGCCAAAGACAGAGCCTGGAAGGGAGGCCTGGCATGGTCACCAGATTCTTGATGTCCAGGATTAAAGGCTTGGTGTCTGGGCCATAGCCCTCCATCTGAGATAAAGGCTTAGCTTACAATTTCTGGTGAAGAACTGACCTAGACTCTACCTGGTGGCATCCTGAGGGCCCAGTAGTTTTGTGTTTAAGCCAGAGAACCCTAGTCACTGAGCTACAGATCTGATCATCTAGGCTTGGGGTGAAGATGGGGCAGGTGGTGGCAGCCCTTGAGTCTCAGGGCTGGCAGGTGGCATGTTGGTTCACCAACATGGGTGCTGGACTCCCATATGGCCGACCGCAGTTCGAGTCCTAGACCTGGCCGCTTGCTTTCTTACTTTCTCTCTCTCTCTCTCCCTCTCTGGTCAAATTAAAATAAATAAATAAAGATAAATAAAAATTAAAAAAAAAAAAGCCCTTCAGTCTGGAGTGGAGGCCTGGCATTGCCACTAGATTCTTATTTATTTATTTGCAGTGAGTTTTTTTTATTTAACTTTATTTATTATTATTATTATTATTATTATTACTTTAATTCAACCAGAGAGAGAGGGAAAGTGAAGCCGCCAGGTCTGGGACTTGAACTGTAGTCAGCCATGTGGGAATCCAGCACCCCTAACCACCATGCCACCTGCTGGCCCCACCACTAGATTCTTGGTGTCCAGGGTAAAGATAAAGGCCTAGCTTTTCAATTTCTGGGAAGACCTGAGCTAGACTCTGGGTAGTGGGATAATGAGGGGCCAAAGGCCAGGTGTCTGGAAGAGGCACGTTGTGATGGGGTAAGACCTCCTCCAGGACTCAGGCCTGACATCCAGACCAGGCCCCAGTGTCTAAGAAATCTGGTGATCTGGGCTAGAGAGTGGGTGGTGGGGTTTGGAGGGCCAAAGTCTGATGTCCAGGGGGCAGTCTCATGTCTGGCTCAGAGCCCGACTGAGAAGTCTCGTGGTCTGGGTCAGAACGCGGGCTGTCGGGTTCTGAGGAGTAAAGGTCTGGTCTGGGTCCCCGTGCTGGTGTCTGGGTGTCTGTGACCTGGCCGATGGCGGCCTGCGAGGTCCGGGTCAAGGTCTGGAGTGTGGGCCTGAGCCCAGGTCTCTCTGCGGGCAGGAGGAAGAGGACCTCCCCTACGAGGAGGAGATCATGCGGAACCAGTTCTCTGTCAAATGCTGGCTCCGCTACATCGAATTCAAACAGGGCGCCCCCAAGCCCAGGCTCAACCAGCTCTACGAGCGCGCGCTCAAGCTGCTGCCCTGCAGGTGGGAACGCGTCCCGCTGCCCTGCCCGCCAGCCCCTGCCCTGCCCGCCAGCCCCTGCCCTGCCTTGTCTCATAGCAAACCTGGCAAGTAGGTCGCGGGTGACTGCTTCGTGACCCTGCAGACTCCCAGATATCCCACTGTGTCCCGAGACTTATCTTCCCTCCCCAGACCCCTTCTCCTGCGCTGCCTGCTGGGGCTCAGGGAAGGGCTCTGGGGGTTCGTAATGGACCAGTGAGTATCTGGCCCATCTGATTCCCAGCTACAAGCTCTGGTACCGCTACCTGAAGGCACGCCGGGCCCAGGTGAAGCATCGCTGTGTGACCGACCCTGCCTACGAAGACGTTAACAACTGCCACGAGAGGGCCTTTGTGTTTATGCACAAGGTGGGGGCAGGCGAGGCCCGAGAGGGGCTGTGGGTGAAGCGCCGGGGGTGGCTCAGCATCGTAGGAAGCGGGCTGGAGTCCTGTTGCCCTGTGCAGGAGGGGTGCCTGGACTCAGCGCTGAGTCCGGGCTCTGGGTCCCGCTGCATTTATTAGAGACCGGGCTCAGCCACGGCCATCTGGTGTCTCTGGCCAGGCCGGGGAGCCCGCGGCTCAGTGCCGGCCGTCTCTCCCACGCTTCCAGATGCCCCGTCTCTGGCTGGATTACTGCCAGTTCCTGATGGACCAGGGGCGCGTCACACTCACCCGCCGCACCTTTGACCGGGCCCTGCGCGCACTGCCCATCACGCAGCACTCGCGGATCTGGCCCCTGTACCTGCGCTTCCTGCGCTCACACCCGCTGCCCGAGACTGCCGTGCGAGGCTACCGGCGCTTCCTCAAGGTGAGCGGACCGACGGCCAGGTCCCCAGGGGCGAGTTTCCAGAAACTGGGCCGCGGGGACACTTGCCCCACGCGGGAGGTCACTGCACAGACAGGCTGTGGGAACGGGGCTCCTGGAGACACAGGTTGTGCTTGCCATCCGTTTGTTTCCCACTCTGTGCGCCGGCACCCACTGTACGGCTGGTGTGGGGATGGTGCTGGGGACCGTGAGTAGGACAGTCCCCGCCCGCGTAGGGCTCCCAGCCTAACTGGCAGTGCACACGAGCTGGCTGCAGAAACCAGGATCAAACCGCGGCCGTGGGGGGCAGGAGTGAGGGAGAACGGTGCCGTGGGAACTAGAGCAGGCAGCGTGCAGGGAGGTGCACACGGGATGGAGAGCTGGGCGCCGGTTTCTCCAGCTGCTGGTCTGTCATGTGACGTGAGCCCCGTGCTGTTAGGGTGGGCACCCATGGTCGAAGCAGGCTGGGGTGCTGGGGTCCAAGCCAGACCAGTCAGGACTGGGGCTCGGCCAGGGGATCCCAGCTGGAAAGGTCAGGACTGGGGCTGGACTGGGCAGGACCGGGGCTGGACCAGGGGCCCAGGTTGGACAGTCAGGACGGGGGCTGGACCAGGGGGCTCAGGCTGATCCCACGGGATGAAGGCTGGGCCACCATGGGGCTTGGGCTGGCCCCGTAGGGCCCCGGCAGGCTGGCTCTTGGCCAGAACAGCAGTGGCTGGGTGGTGGCGGGAGGCTGGGGGCCACAGGACGAAGGCACAGTGTGGCCTGCACCCCCAGCTGAGCCCTGAGAGCGCGGAGGAGTACATTGAGTACCTGAAGTCGAGCGAGCGGCTGGACGAGGCGGCGCAGCGGCTGGCCACGGTGGTGAACGACGAGCACTTCGTGTCCAAGGCGGGCAAGTCCAACTACCAGGTGGGCGTGGGGCCTGGCCGGCGGCGGGTGGGCTGGCCACCCCCATCCCAGGCTGTCCCCGCCTGACCCCACTGTCCACCTGTGCCCCGCAGCTGTGGCATGAGCTGTGTGACCTCATCTCCCAGAACCCGGACAAGGTGCAGTCGCTCAACGTGGACGCCATCATCCGGGGCGGCCTCACCCGCTTCACCGACCAGCTGGGCAAGCTCTGGTGCTCGCTGGCCGACTACTACATCCGCAGCGGCCACTTCGAGAAGGTGCGCGGGCCTCCTTCCCACCCGGAGGGGAGCCCAGGCAGGGACTGCACGCCCCGCGTCCGCCATGGGGAGTGAGGGGAGGCGGACAGCCCCGCGGGCCAGGGCCGCCGGTCTGGGCTAGGACCTGACTGCCGTTCTCGCCAAGCCTCCGTGTCCCCATCTGCAGTGGGGTGACAGCGACTCCTTCAACTGTAAGGAATCGGCTCGGTGACACCTGCAGAGCACCGCACAGGCCCGATGTGAGGACCCTCCGGGGCAGAGTGACCCTGGCCGTCCCTGTTCCCTCGCCTCATGGTTGGGTTGCAGGGAGAGGGGCCAGTTGAGAGTCCCCAGGGCTGGCTGGGCTGCTGCGGCCTCAGGGACGTGGGAGCAGGAGTAGGGCCAGAGCCCAGTGAAGGGAGGTGTGGGACTCGGGGTGTGGACGGCTAGGGAAGGCTGCCCGGCTGGGGGCGGGCTGGGGGCAGGCGGGGGTGCGCAAGCACACACCTCGTGCCGCCCCTTCAAGCAGAAGGCACAGGCCCAGCTGGCGGAGGCGGCAGGGCAGGAGCGTTTAGGACAGGGTAGAGAGGCGTGGGTGAGGGGCTGGGCCGGGGGCTGGGGGCGTGCGCTGGAGGAGGTCGCGCAGGCCCGGGGGGCTTGGGAACGTGATGGTGCCTCGGTGGGCGTGCCTCGGTGGGCATGCCGAGATGAGGAACCCGCAAGGTGGACCTGGGGCACTGGGGAGCTGTCGGGCATCTCCTGGGTGTTACTGGGTACGAGGTGCTCCGTGTCTCCCTGGAGCCGCACAGTGGCCCTGCACGAGGGACTGTCACAGTTTAGGCTCCCAAGCTTACCCGGGCAGGGCCAGGCCAGGCTCACTCTCGCCCGTGGGGGCTTGGCTACCCCAGGGAGGTTCTGCCAGTGGGAACTCACCCAGTGCTGGCCCCGCAGGCTCGGGACGTGTACGAGGAGGCCATCCGGACCGTGATGACCGTGCGGGACTTCACGCAGGTGTTCGACAGCTATGCCCAGTTCGAGGAGAGCATGATTGCGGCCAAGATGGAGACCACCTCAGAGCTGGGGCGGGAGGAGGAGGGTGAGGCGTGGTGGCCCCAGACAGGGGAGGGGGGAAACAGCTGGGGCTGGAGGGCGACCCGGGTGGGATCAGCCAGGGGCCTTAGCAGGAAGGCAGACCAGGCTGGGGACCCTGGAGGAGCCTGGGATGGGGCACTTATCAGACTTGGGCCAGGGCCTGGCTGGCTGGTGGGGGCTGGGGTGGGTCCTGGACAGCAGCGTAGCTGAGTCTGGAAGGCCAGGAGCTGGTGGCTGGGGGCCAGCAGGAAGGGAGGGTAGGGAATGGAGGTGACCGCCGAGGCCCTGGCCCCCACCTGGGCCCTCACGAGCACATCCGGCCCTCAGATGATGTGGACCTGGAGCTGCGGCTGGCCCGCTTCGAGCAGCTCATCAGCCGGCGGCCGCTGCTGCTCAACAGCGTCTTGCTGCGCCAGAACCCCCACCACGTGCACGAGTGGCACAAGCGCGTGGCCCTGCACCAGGGCCGCCCCCGGGAGGTGAGTGAGGGTGGACGTCCAGCTCTGCCCTGCCCATTCCGGGCAGCCATCCAGCTCCTCGGAGCCCCGCCACACCCCCTTAGAACCACATCTCACCAGACCCCAGTCCCACGCTACTGGGTCCCCTGAGGACCACGCCCATCCGACCCGCCCGCAAGCTCCTAGGCCCCGCCCACCCCTTAGAACCACGCCCCTCCACACCCGCCCCGCCTCCTGAGGCGCACGGCCCCGCCCCTTCAGCTGGCAGGGCCGTCTGTCTGACAGCCCCTCTGTTCCCAGATCATCAACACATACACAGAAGCAGTGCAGACGGTGGACCCCTTCAAGGCCACGGGCAAGCCCCACACACTGTGGGTTGCGTTTGCCAAGTTCTACGAGGACAACGGGCAGCTGGACGATGTGAGCTTCGTGTGTGTACATACGTGTGCATGTGTGCGTGCGCCTGCACGCGTGTGTGCTGGCACAGTGCATGAGGGCAGCGGGCACGGTCTTAGCCTGGCGTCTGCCCCCGCTCCCCACAGGCCCGCGTCATCCTGGAGAAGGCCACCAAGGTGAACTTCAAGCAGGTGGACGACCTGGCGAGCGTGTGGTGCCAGTGTGGCGAGCTGGAGCTCCGGCACGAGAACTATGACGAGGCCTTGCGGCTGCTGCGGGTGAGAGCATGCCCCGGTGTGGGTGCCAGCACGCGGAAGGGAGGGCAGGGAACCTCTGAGCGCCTCCCCCACTACCGTGTCCCCTGCAGAAGGCAACCGCGCTGCCCGCCCGCCGGGCCGAGTACTTCGACGGCTCGGAACCCGTGCAGAACCGCGTGTACAAGTCCCTGAAGGTGTGGTCCATGCTAGCCGACCTGGAGGAGAGCCTCGGCACCTTCCAGGTGAGCCGGCCGGCTGGGGGTGCAGCAGGGGAGGCAGGGCCCGGGCTGCCCTCCGACCTGTCGACCTGTTGCACCCTCAGTCCACCAAGGCGGTGTACGACCGCATCCTGGACCTGCGCATCGCCACGCCGCAGATCGTCATCAACTATGCCATGTTCCTGGAGGAGCACAAGTACTTCGAGGAGAGCTTCAAGGTGAGGCGGGCCCTCCCCAGCGGCCTCAGCCCCGGGCGCGTCCTCCAGGGCTGCTGGGACAGGGTACCCAGCCCGGGCTTACGCACACGGCTCTCATCCGAGTCTCAGGGGCAGCAGGGCTGAGGCAGGGTGCCGGCCTGTCGTGCTCCTCCTGAGGCCTCCCTCCCTGGCGGAAGCCCCGGCCTTCTCCTGTGTCTTCCCATGCTCCTGTATCCGTGTCCGATCTCCTTTTAGAAGACTGCCAGGCTTTCGTAGACGAGGCCCACTCCAGTGACTGGTGACCAGCGGTCTGGTCTGCAAACACGCCTGCGTCCCAGGGTGTTGGGGTGCAGGTCTCCTTGGCACTGGGGGCCGTGCACCTGCTGTGTCACCTGCTAGGTGACTAACCTTGTGCTCTGCCGTCCTGTGGGACCTGCCCTTGGCTCTCGGGAGCCTGGAGGGAGGGAGGCAGGGCCCTTGCAGTCCCACTGCTGTTATGGCGGGGCTGTCTCCCAGACCGACTCACACCCACGACTCCCCTGGGACAGGCGTACGAGCGCGGCATCTCACTGTTCAAGTGGCCCAACGTGTCGGACATCTGGAGCACCTACCTGACCAAGTTCATCGCCCGCTATGGGGGCCGCAAGCTCGAGCGCGCGCGGGACCTGTTCGAGCAGGCGCTGGACGGCTGCCCCCCCAAATACGCCAAGAGTGAGGCGGGGCGGGGATGGGGGTGGGGGGCAGGCTCCCCCCCGGCCCCTGCGCAGGGCCTGACCCGGCGCCTCCCGTCCCCGTCCCCGCGCAGCCCTGTACCTGCTGTACGCGCAGCTGGAGGAGGAGTGGGGCCTGGCGCGGCACGCCATGGCGGTGTACGAGCGCGCCACCCGCGCGGTGGAGCCCGCGCAGCAGTACGACATGTTCAACATCTACATCAAGCGGGCGGCCGAGATCTACGGCGTCACCCACACCCGCGGCATCTACCAGAAAGCCATCGAGGTGCGGGCCTGGGGCCTGGTGGGGTCGGAGGGCCGCGGGAGGATGGAGAGCGCTCGGCCCGGGGGCTGGGAAGAACTCAGGGGAAGCCCGGAGGAGAGTCGGGGTGCTGTGCGGGCCCCCTATTACCCAGCCTCACGCCCTGCCCCCACCCCGCCTGCGCGCAGGTGCTGTCGGACGAGCATGCGCGCGAGATGTGCCTGCGGTTCGCCGACATGGAGTGCAAACTCGGGGAGATCGACCGCGCCCGGGCCATCTACAGCTTCTGCTCCCAGATCTGCGACCCCCGGGTAGGGCCGGGTCGCTGGAGGGTGGGGGCGGGGGCGGCGGGGGTGTGGCCGAGCCCTCGGCTGACGCATGCGCCGCGCGCCCACAGACGACCAGCGCGTTCTGGCAAACGTGGAAGGACTTCGAGGTCCGACACGGCAACGAGGACACCATCAAAGAGATGCTGCGCATCCGGCGGAGCGTGCAGGCCACGTACAACACGCAGGTCAACTTCATGGCCTCGCAGATGCTCAAGGTGTCGGGCAGCGCCACCGGCACGGGTGAGCCGCGCCCTCCGCCGGGCCGGGAGCGACCCGGCCCAGCTTGGCCTCCCCGCCTCAGCCTGCGTGCCCAGGGTAGGGCCAGGCAGCCGGGAGGGGGCCCCGGTGGGTGACGCCTGGCTGTCCCACAGTGTCGGACCTGGCCCCGGGGCAGAGCGGCATGGACGACATGAAACTGCTGGAACAGCGGGCGGAGCAGCTGGCGGCCGAGGCCGAGCGGGACCAGCCCCCGCGGGCCCAGGGCAAGATCCTCTTCGTGAGGTGAGGGCCGAGGGGGGCTCGGGGCACGGGTGGGGACAGGGCTAGGGGAGAAGGCCCCTCACACACACACCTGCTGCCCTCTTCCCCAGGAGCGACGCCTCCCGGGAGGAGCTGGCCGAGCTGGCCCAGCGGGCCAACCCCGAGGAGATTCAGCTGGGGGAGGACGAGGACGAGGACGAGATGGACTTGGAGCCCAACGGTGAGGGCCCCGCGGGGTGGGGGACAGGGGCAGGGCTGGCCCCCCTGGGAATCCGGGCCTCACCACCTCCTCCCGCCTTCCCCAGAGGTCCGGCTGGAGCAGCAGAGCGTGCCGGCCGCCGTGTTTGGGAGCCTGAAGGAAGACTGACTCCTCTCTCCCCTGGAGCCCCCCTTCCCCCAGAACCCCCCAATACAGCCCATGTTTGTACGTCAGCTCTGAGCCTCCTTCCTGCCACCCAGGGGCCTTAGGGAGTGCCAGCTCAGGGCGCCTGGCCCGCCGGATTGGCTGGGGTGGGGGGGGGGGGGGCCGCCCAGCACACACCCACCCTCACCCCGCAGAGCCGGTTCTGGGCGCCCAGCTGACCTGCGTCGGTCCTGCCCAGAGGCTCCTTCCCCGAGCCTGGGGGGCACAGACTAGCCGGCCAGGGCACCCACGCCCAGAGCGGAGGACTCCCAGGCCAGGCACCGGCCAGCTCTGAGAACAGGCTAGCCAGCACTGTGTCCCCGAGGGGCCAGAGCCAGACCTCACCCACGGGCCATTCAGGGTGTGGTCCTTCGCCCTAAGCTCTGGGAAGCCATTAGCGGACTCTAAGCTATTAAGGGGTTTTAGGCATCAAGGGAGATAATCAGATTTGTGCTCCGAGCAGGTCACAGGCTGCCCGGTGGGCAGGAGGCGGCCGGGGACCTCGGGAGGCCCGGGCTGGATGAGGTGAGGAGGGCAGGAGTGGGGACCGGAGGGAAGCTGGACCCTGCCTGGCCCAGGGCTGCAGTGTAGACTCTGCATCTGAGGCTCCCCTGGCACAGATGCCAAGGAGGCCACCAGATCCCCAGAGGAGGGACACCCGGATCTCGCCCAGAGCAGTACCCAGGCCTGGAAACCAGACAGGCTGGCCAGGCAGGCGGGCTCGAGTAAGGACTTGGCCCGGGGCCAGAGGCCAGGAAGGTCAAGAACAGCCACACGGGAGGGAAACTGGGCGGTGGGGGAGGGAGGGCCAGTCCGGAGCCTCCTGTGCTGAGAGGTCACTTCAGAAGCGGCCGAGAAACGTCCACGGGGCAGGAAGGTGGGGGGGCCTCGGAGGGTGCAGGAGAGCACTGGAAACGCAGCCGGCCTCAGAGGCGACAAGGCTCAACGTCTCTTTAAATTATTTTATTCAAGAAGGTGAGGAGGACAGACAAGGGGACTGAGCTGAGCCCTGAGTCCCTGAACCTCCCAGCTCAGCCCCCCACAGCAGGGGCGGACTCAAGGTTAGGGGGTGGGGACTCCAGCCCCACCCAGACGGGATCGGACGGACAGACAGGACCCAGGAATACAGACCGACTGTCCCCCAGGAGGGCGGCGGCGGCTGAGCACAGCCCGCGCAGGCGGGGCTATTTGGGGGTGCTGCCACCCTTCTTGGGAGTGGTGGGCTTCTTGCTCTGCCAGAGGTGTCCCTGGATGGTGAAGGCGTCCACGCTCATGGACATGGTCTTGGCGGGGATCTGGGTGAAGCGCTTGCGGTCCGAGTTGTACTTGTAGATACCTTCCACCATGGCAGGCCTGACTGTGCGGGGGCCGTAGCCTGCCAGCCGCGACAGCTCCTCGGTCTCCCCCGACAGCGTGTAGAGGGCCCGGAACTGACAGCTCGAGTCGCGGAAGAGGATCAGGAAGTGGTTGGCCTTACTCTTCTCGATCTCCTAGCCGGGGAGCGGAACGGTGAGCGGCAGCGGGCGGGAAGCCCTGGCCCACCGCCCCCTCCCGCGAGCAGGCACCCTCACCTCCAGGATGCGGTTCTTCTGGGGCTCGTTGACCTTGCCCGCCAGGCAGCAGTGCGACAGGGCGTTGTGGATGATGAACTTGTTCGATTTGGCGCTGGGTTCCTTGTACAGCCGGGGACCTAGGGGGCGGGGTGGTGAGCAGGGACCACGGGGACAGGAGGGTCCAGCAGCCAGCCCCGGCACCCACAGCCCGGCTCACCTGTGTACTCGGGCACCGACGCCGGGGAGGAGGCGTTGCTGCCGTTCTCCCAGTCCCGCTCGCGGCTTCCGGGCAGGCGGCTGGGGGAAACCAGGCCGGACGGGGATGGGGCCCTGCCGGGATGGGACAGCGTCAGGTGGGGTCCGGTGGGCGAAGGCCCCCAGGACAGAGGGGCCGTACGCAAACGAACACCCTCCCAAGTCCAGGCGGCACCCTCTCTGGCTCAGCTGATGGGTGCAGAGACAGCTCGCGGGTCCCGCCTGCCAGGTGCACAGCCCCACCTACAGCCCTGCACACGCCCGCGTGCTCCCGCCTCCTCCGCGGCGCACACGGGTTCACACAGATACACGCATGCACATGCCGGCAGGCCCCCGGAGGCCACCCAGCATGTGACCCTCCGCCTGGCCGGTCTGGGCTCACCGGGACGTGGGCCTCTTCACCCCGAGGTTATTAGGGGTCTCGTTGGCCACCGTGGACAGCGACAGGGTGGACTGGGAGTAGATTTTGCTGAGACGGGAGCCTGGGGATGGCAAGCATTCGGTCAGCCCCCACTGGAAACACCGCACCCCCAAACGTAGCTGGGGGGACCACCCCGCACCCCACTGCAGATCCCCCAATACCAACAGGCAGGGTCAAACCCCACCTGACTCCCCCCTC